TGAGACAACGGCATAATCATATGATCCAAATTTGCAAGTCACTTTGAATAGAAAACCAAGCAGACTGTGTTAAACATTTCTGTCTCTGTTCAATAGAATACGACTTCTTAATCGAACAGTTCGCTTAATTTCAGTTTTAGTAAGTTCAAATGTAAACTGTACAACTTGAACTTCAAAATAAAACAGTAATGTCACTGCTGTTGGGTAACGCAAATACTTGTGACGTAAGGACAATGTAGTGTTTATTGTTGCTTGAGGTTTCACGCAATAATTTCTGAAGCCATAATGAATACATGTTGACAAGTTCTGTACATAATTTAAACTTAGACATCTAAACTGTAACTATCTAGAACAAACTGTATTTGGCCTGTGTTATGTGAGATCCCCCTCATTTCACTATCCTCTAAGGTCATCTCTGCTCCCCTGTGGACAATATAAGAACTACATGCGCTGTACTAAACTGTACCACATATCAATGTTTGCTTCTGGGTTGTACCGCATCTAAAGAGTAAGAAAACATGGCAAATAATTAAAATAAAAAAAATAAAAAAATAGTGCTTGGTGTTGTCTTGTTTTGTGTGTACAGTGTTGGAGAAAGTAATGACTGACCCCTATCATCTGAGAACCATAAACACAAAATAAGCAGACCTCCTGCTACCCTCATCCCTCTAAACCAATCAGGTGAATGCAGGGCCTCTTACCCATAACAAACTGTCTCGTACAGCAAGCAACTGTTGTGGATGAGAGCCATTCTAATTCTGGATTTAACCACAACTGGAGTTTTGGAGATTTAACCATGATTCAAGGTGCTTCAGAGCTAGCTGCAATATGTGTGGGCTTGGTTGGCTTGATCGGCGCCTCGGCTACCACGGGGTTGCCCATGTGGAAGGTGACCGCGTTCATCGGAGAAAACATAATTGTGATGGAAACCCGCTGGGAAGGCCTATGGATGAACTGCTACAGACAAGCCAACATCAGAATGCAATGTAAGGTTTATGACTCCCTGCTGTATCTGCCCCCTGAATTACAGGCTGCCAGGGGTCTGATGTGCTCTGCTGTGGCCTTGTCAGCGGTGGGGCTTCTTGTGGCTCTGGCAGGAATGCGATGTGTGTCCTGTATTCGGGGTAATGATTGGGCTAAGACCATTATATTGATGGTTGCAGGGGTTATGCAGTTCATGGCGTGCATCTGTGTCTTTATCCCCGTGTCGTGGACAGGTCATGTTATCATTACAGATTTTTACAATCCTTTGCTGATTGATGCCCAGAGAAGAGAGCTAGGAGAGGCTCTTTACATTGGATGGGTGACAGGTGCTGTGCTTTTCGCCTCATCCTTGTTGTTTGTCTGCCGCCGTTTGCCCAAAGGCAAAGGCTCGTTTGATATGTATCACCCACCAAACTTACTTAGTTATAAGCCAACGCCCAATAGGCCAGCTCTGATGAATTATCATCCCCTGTCCAGCCTTCGATCGACTGGTTCCGTTGGACAAAACGCTGCAATGCCACTGCAAACTGTCATTCCAGTAAGGACAAATAATGGAACAGTATTAAACCCACCTGTTGTCTATAATCTGACTCCTCAGGAAAACGCATCATTGCTATATCAAGGCAGTATGTCTCATCACCCCTCAGTGCAGAGCTCTAACCACAGTGGAAACTTGTATGCTCCAGAGAACTCCTTATACATGAGTCAGAACACCATACCATATTCACTCACTTATGTTCCCACCACGTCCTACCAGTCCAGCTTCCATCCAGTTCCACAGACTCCTATTTTCATAACATATAAAGAATCAAGAGCTCAATCAGTGCCTTACAGTGAGATGAGAGGTGGTGTATACATATAAGGAAAAATCCACAACTGAGTTTAATCCTAATGCATATACTGAATAATATTGAACGGTGTGTTTAAAGTTTTTGTACTGTTAATAACTGTTTTAAATGTTTTGCAGTGTGGAAAAAATGTCTGCTTTTATCAAATGGGACACAACCATTGTTATTAGTATACACAAAGATGAGCCTTTGTAAACCATTTAACCTCTGTAGAAATCACCAGGATGGAAAGTTATAGCTTAATGTTTTGCAACCTTTTGCAGCCATTTGTTCAAAAACCTCTAGAATTGTTATCGTTATCACGATGTCTCAGTGTGTGTTTTGCTATCATGATGTGTTTTCCACCAGCCAGATGTATAAATAACTTGTTATTATTATTGCTTGCCTGTAATTTCGATTAGCAATGATCATTAAAACCACATTTTAATTTACAAATGTTAGTAGCTGGCAAGTGTTTTTTTTTTTTTTTAATACAACACTTCACTCTGTAGGTGTGTATAAACTGTTTATATTTCCCAGAGGGAAAACCTTTTTTTCCCCAGAGATAGCAGTGAGGGTAGATTAAGGGTATATGCTCTGTGAGGTCCCAGAAGCCCGTTGAATTCTTCTTTCTGCATTTTGAGCAAGTTTGATTATGGAAAACATATTTTATGGTAAAAGAAAAAAAAAAGCAAAAAAAAAAAGCAAATGTTCTTAGAAAAGTAATGATGAAATTTCTTGTTTTAAAGCTCTACTAAACTAAACTACTTAACTAAAAACTCAAACCACATTAAAATCTAAAACAATGAGAAATTAAAGTTGCTAAAAATGAATTTGACATGCATATTATATATATTTTTTAAATATTTTAGATATGTAACAAAAGATTGTTTGAAACTAAAGACAAATGTGGTTCACACAAATTTGTGAACCGCACATTGGACTTATTTGAGAAATCAGAAATTCATCGAGCATAACAGTCAACCACTAAAACAAGCAAGCAAATAATTTGCATTTCTAAACATTCTAATAATAAAATGTGTTTTATTATCATTATTTACTTTTTTGTAAATCAGTGAATTTTAAAATTTAGCGATAAAACAAAAATAGTTATATTTTAGCTTTAAAATATGATCTTAATTAAAAACCTTCCACACCGTGGTGGATTAACCATTACAGAAACATAAGAAATTATTTTGTTAATCACCAGCACTATTAATTTAGGGCGTCTTTGGCATAAATCTTGCATTAGGTGGTGGACTAATAAATGTGTTAAACTGTGTACTGTATATACTTATATATTTTATAAATACATGCTGGCAATTAAAATCTCTTCACAATGCAAATCTTCAAAACAAATTTTCTATACTGACATCATATCACCACTAGATGAC